CCAGGGCTCAGCCAGGTGACAGGCTCAGGTGCCCTTACTCTGCACCTCAGTTGTCTGACCTCCCTCATGCCCCCCGGGTGTGGGGGATCATTTCCTAGTCTGGGGGAATCCAGAGGTTCTTCCTCCATTTTTCCTCAGGGTGGATCCATACGCAGATCTCCCTGACCTCCTAAGAGTTTAGTCTTCTGGAAACGAACTGGGGAAGAGACTCCACTCCAAGCCCACCTGCTCTTCTCGTCCCAGTCCCCCCTCTGGCACTGAGCACAAGCCAGCGATGGAGGCAGGAGGGGAGAAATGAGACGAATAGAGGCTAAGGTCTCAAAAGTATTATCTTACCACTTAAATATTAAATAAAATAGACACAGACAACAGTCTGGGGGTTAGCAGAGGGAAGGAGGCGAGGGGAGCAGGGAAGTGTAAAAGGGGCTAAATATGTGGTGATGGACGATGGTTTGACTTTGGGTGGTGGGCACACAATGCAGCCAATGTCAACCCAATGCACTTTTTAAAAAGAATGAAATAAAACAGCATATTAAAGAACTTGCCATGTTTTAAGAACCTCATAAATAATGGCTATTATTTTTCCCCTCTGTGATCTGTTGGCCACATTATCTGTATCTCTTGTTTGAAAATTAATCTTCTTCTGCCTTGGAACATCTATTGTGTTGGCAATTTACTCTTTTGTATTTTTCCAGTTTTTATACTTTATTTTCCCAGCTAAATGAAAGCTCCTGGAGAGCGTGGTCCACATCCTATAATTAACTGAATCTAGCAGAAGGCAAGGCATACAGCGAACACTTTAAAATTATGTGCAGATCTAGCCTCAGGAATCCAAAATCATGCTCACAAAGATTTAGAGAAGGTTTTTTTATATTAGAAATCATGTTATTTTTTTCTTAAAATAATTCATGAGCATGTTTATATCTAAATGCTAACAGAGGAGCCATGTGGTATATGCAGACACTCTAGATAGTAAAAAGAAAGAGATTTTCAATGTATCCATTATATTTTAAAATCCCGCATCACAACAACCCCTGAGTGCAAATATATTTCAAATTTTATGCTGGTCTCCTATTGCAAAATGCTAATTGAATTGATTTCCTGGAGCTGCATCACTGATAAATAGAGTATATCACAGATCTGGGATTTTTGAGTCAAAAATATTGAATGTGAATGCTTTGCTGAGAGAAAATAGTGTGTAGAAAAATGACTTAGCAGCCACAAGAGTTGCAAAGTTTGGTCTTTAAGGATGGAGCTGCAAAGTGAGCAGTTGAGTGGGGCTAGAAGACATGCCAGCATGGGCTCTCCCTGAGCCTCACTGGACGGGGCCGGCCGGTGTCACCGGGACGGCCCAGCTGGTCCTCTGCGTGGATGGATGTGCTCGCACGGTAAGGCCCCCACTTCACCACTTCCAACTCTTGTGGCCCTAGGTGACTTACTCCTCCTCTCTAAGCCTGAATTTGCCCATCTATAACTATAGAATAAGTAGCCACCCCCGCAAGAGTTTGATGAAGATTCAGTAAGATAATGGATGTGAGGACCTCACATGGTGTTAGAAACATAGTTTACACCCAGGACACGATGGTGGCAAAGATGACCACTGGACGCCCTGGAAAGTGGCAGCTCTCCCATTCACACCCAGGCTCACGCCCTTCTTCCTGGAGGTCCACAGAAGTGTCCTTTGCCAGGGCAAGAAGATGCTAATGACTTTGAGGGGCAGGGGGGCTTTCAGGGCCCAAAACAGAAGGCCCCAAATTGGCTCCTCATGCCCTCAAGCTATGGCCATCTCAGACCATTCCTCAAAGCCAGGTCTGTTTAAAGTTCCCCGTGGACTTCTCTCATTTCCAACGTGAGGTGTTTGGGGTGGAAAGTGATGACAGAGTGAGTCAAAATGGCTTAAACTGTGACGATGGATGACAGGCTCGCACGACTGAGGACGTCCCTCGGCAGAGCAGCGGGGAGGCCGCTCAGGGTTCTGCTCAGCCTGCTCTGGCTCTCCCAGCTCTGCCCTCCTCCACGCATTGCCTTGGTTGGCCCTGGTCTGCTGGCAAGATGGCTGCAGCAGCTCTTGGCGTTCCAGGGCGAGAGAGCAAGAATAGGTTCTAGAAGCTTTCTGGAGAGAAAATGGAAGCTCTTTTCTCAGAAGCAGCCTGTCGGCTTCTCCTCCCAGCTCACTGGCCTAAATTTGGTCTCATGATTATTCCTGAATCAACAGCCATGGCTTATCAGATGCCAGGTGCCGAATGGCTTCACCTTGGTACTGGCCCCCAAGTTCATGCCTGATTCAGTCACTGGAGCAATGGAGACAGGAAAGCCTGACTGGCTTTGACTAAACAGAATCCACGCTTGGAGCTTGAGTCAGCCCTCCAACCTCAGGGCTAGAGCTGCCATTGCAAGAAGGCAGGGGTGAGATGGATGTCGGAGAGACACCACAAGGCCCACCACTTTTCTGGTATTTAACTGCAGTTCTACAAACAACGATGAAACGTCTGCTGTGTGCCAGGCAGAGTGCAAGACACCGGGATAACACAAGGGGCCCTGTGTTGCTGAGAGGAATAAATGAGCCACTTATGTAAAGTGCCTGTTTCACCCCTCAGCCTCTAATACCTGTTCAGTGTTGTTTTCATTAAAATGCATAATGCATGAGTGCTCCCTGCCATTTAAGAGACAGGCTTAAATAAATCCCAGCAGTGTGTCAGGAGTGGTGCGAGCAAGCCTGAGAGTGGCATAAAGGAAGGACATCACATGAGGAATTTGCAGAAGGCCCAACCTCAAGAACCCTATAGCTCAGTGGTTCTTAACCTTGACTTCATGTTTGACTCACCTGAGGAGCTTTTAAAACCCACCAGAGGTGTCCAACCTGTGGCCCAAGGGTTGCGTGCGGCTTGGGGTGGCTATGAATGCGGCACAACACAAAATCGTACATTTACTTAAAACACTATGAGATTTTGTGTGTGTGTGATTCCGTGTCATAATGTATTTAACATGTGACCCAAGACAACTCTTCTTCCTCCAGTGAGGCCCAAGAGGTTGGACACCCCTGCGCCTACACTACTTGGCCTCAAGCTCTAAGGGTGAGACTCAACACCAGGACCTGTTTGTCTTTCTAAAGATCCCCAGATGATTAAAGTGTGCAGTCAAGGTTGAGAACCATCTTCATAAGAGAGTGAAGACACAAAATACACATAAGCCAGTAACTAAGGCTGCTGGGTTGTGAGGGGTACATGAAAATGAACTGTCAATGGTCTAAGACCCAGGGGGCTGAGGACAGGGGGAGGGCATGGCAGGTGGGGGCTCATGAAAGATTTCTGTAAGTAGCAGGGGACAGAGGGTGTAAAGTGCCCTAAAGAATCAGCAGATATGCCTAACGTGAGCAGTTTGGAGGTGGTATCTCGATGCAAGGAGGAATGGGTGTGAGCAAAGGTCTGCATGCAAACACAGAGGGTGTATCAGTTCAGACCCAGTCAGGAGAGAGAAACCACACAGTAATTTGAACAGAAAAATAGAAAGAATTATAAACTGTAACACCAGATTGGAATAATGAAGGATTGGCTCCTAAGACGTAGAAAGAACTCAAGAATATAGGAATGCGGGCACCTGGAGCATCCACTCCTAGAGGCCTGAGATAGGGCGCCCTAGGAAGATCCCTCTGCCTCCTCCCCCCAACACTGAGGTCCAGGCTTTGCTGGCACAGCGGGCTCGCTGAAGGGCAGTGAAGTCACCGTGGCGTCACCCAGGCAGAACTTTTCAGAGATGTACCCTCTGTGGCATCAGGAAAGCTATTCACAGGGAGGTGTCTCACTGGCACACACTGTGCTGGGGGAAGCTGCCGGCCCTGCACTGCAGGAGCTGGGAGCAGAGGCACTGAGGAAGCTGGGGGCCCTGCACTGCAGGAGCCGGGAGCAGAGGCACTGGGGAAGCTGCGGGACTGCTGAGCAAGCGCGGGAGAACCAGGGGGTAAAATCCCCAAGTGCCCCTCCAAGCAAGCAGAGGCTCAGAGAGCTTACAAAACCTTCTCAAGGAATTAGCAAAGCCAAAGTTTGACACCAATTAATCTTTCCTATATGTTCTGCTTCTCTGAACAAATGGAAGTGCAAGATCGAGGCTAAGAGTGTTGGTGTAGGCCACCCAGAGATGGAAGGGGTCTGAGCTCAGGGAAGTCAGTGGGGAAGGCCTCACAGTGGAGGTGAAGATTTAAACGAACTTTAGGGAGGCCCGGTTTTGAAAACCATGGAGAACATATGAGCAGGTAATTTCCAGGCTGGCTTTGCAACACAAGTGACGTTGGAAATATCACATGCTGAAGAATGGACGCCAGCTCAGACAGAACTCTGTTCAGTCAGCCAAGCACCGTAGACAACAGGAGCAGAAAGTCAGAGGTGGAACAGAATCAAGAAAGCCCTTATTGGCCAGAGAACCTGAATTTGGGTGGATGTGAAATTAGCTCATTTTGAGAGAGCCAGCGCCTATAGATTTGGGGCCTCAAGTGCCTGCCAACCTCTCAGTGGAACATAGGGGAGCAAATGCCAGCTTTGAAGTCAAACAGACCAGGACAAGAGTACCAGCTCCAGCGTTTAGCTGTGAGTCCTGGGGCAAGTCCCTCAGCCTTTCTGAGTCTCGGGATTCTTCAGGAGTCAGTTCGAAACAATGATACCATCTTTTCAGGCTTACAGGCGAAGTCCCTAGCACACGGCCTGGCACACGACAGGCTTTTAATCAACAGTAGCTTCCTTCTCCCTCCTACTTTTACTCTGTAGGGCCTTTCTGTCTTCTAAAATAGTTTGGGTCTCTGAAAGTAACTATTTTAAAATTCTGAACTTCTAGGATTCCTCAATCAGGTGCAGTTGAGAGTGCCAAGGTATTGGCTGCAAATGACATCCTCTTGTTGAGAATCTGCCCACAGTCACCGTGTCCTTGGCTCCATTGCCAGGCGGTGCCTTGAAGCAGTGTTTTGTACCCCGTCTCCACAGGGCAAATAACGGTGCTTTTTTATCTTGTAGGCGGAGAAGTCACCAAACCACGGTTTGCCCAGTTCTTCCACGGCAGCCTGGCCAGCCTCACCATCCGCCCTGGGAAAATGGAGAGTCAGAAGGTGATTTCCTGCCTGCAGGCCTGCAAGGAAGGGCTGGATATTAATTCCCTGGAAAGCCTCGGCCAAGGAATAAAGGTAAGGAAGGAGCTAGCATCACCCTGAGGTTTATGAGAAGGAGGCTGCCCAGGGCCAGTGCACACCAGGAAAGGGAGTCCCTTCCTGGGCACTTGCACAGAGATGGTGTCAGCAAAGGCACAGCCACAGCGGAGAGTTTAGTGACTGCCACTCCATGGTGGACTCCTGCCGCCATGTCCTGAAATTCCTAAATGAAACCTTTGTGGAGGAATAATCAGTTCACTCCCCAAAAGTAGGCACATGTTCAGTGTCTACCTGAAGGGAGTTGTTATACTTCTCTTGTTTGTTGGTTGGTTGCTTTGTTGTTTAGTTCCCTAAAGGCACTGAAGCAGCATGCAGGAATATACTCAAAGCTATTTTTTAAAATAAAAACTTTGGATCATACAAGATACAGATTGGAAAGGAAGGTCATTCCCGGTGGGATAGAATTAGAAAGCAGATGTGGAGGTCGCTGGGTCTTTCATCGTTTAGCTGAGACACAGATTGAGCCCCGAGCAATCTCTGGCCAGCAAAAGGAATGTAAAGAGATCCACGATTTTCATCATGCATAATAAAAATATTTGAATAGTCCAAGAGGAGCAAAGCTGCATTCTGAGAAAAGTGCCTCATGCCGGGTGGATAGAACGTGGAGGATTATGCCTCAGCAAGCTCCTCCCTGACAGGTGGGGGTGGTTCTGGCCTCAGCTGCATCTCGGGAGCACCTGCCAGCCTGGAGCCTCTGGGTGCTTGGGCAAAGAGCAGGAGAAACATCATGGTAGCCCTCACTCAATCATAAAGGCCCCCTCAGAACAGGCAGCCCTCTAGCCTCCTCTCTGGAAGGCAGGTAGCCCTCCTTCTAGGGCCATAGGACAGCCCCCTGAGGCCCCAGTAGCTGTGAAGTTTCCCTTCTTAGTCAATGCCGAGGAGGGTGTGACCAGAGCAGAGGTTTCCCAGCCCACCTCCCTTGCCCACCCAGGGCTGCCTCTGGAGCCCCGCCCTGCCCGCCCTGCCCTGGGCCTGCTTCTCCAGGACAGGGAGCGCCTGTCCAGCATGGAGCCCTCTGACCAAAGCTGCAGGTGGGGCTGGTGCAGCTCTGATGTGTGGTAGACTGGAGGGGCTCGTGATCTGAGCACGTTGTGCTTTCATCTAAGTCACAACTGAGTCAGCAAACAGTCTTTGGACACCCAAGTATTCAGCTCTCGGCTGGGTAGAGGGACAGAAAAATAAATGTCCCAAGCTTCATGTCTTCAGGGGACTCAGTCCTACTTCAGAGCTCCGGAACCTGGGGGAATGGTAGTTAATGAAGGCTCCTTGGAGGAGGCAAAATCTGAGCAGAATGTTTTGGGATGGGTAGGAACCAACCAGGCAAAAGGCAGGGGCAGAGGAGGGGGAGAGAGCAGGGCAGTCACTCTGGGCAGAGCCAAGCGCCGGAGTTTGATGGAGGGCTGAGGAACCCCACAGCGCTCTCTGGAACTCGAAGGCCTGTGTTACAAGTGCCCAAAATGCAGGACCAAAGGTAGAAAGTGTGCCCAGGGAGGTAGGCAGAGGCCATGTCATGGGGTCTTGTTAACTATGTGTAGGTATTTCCTTTTTTTTCTTTTTTTTTTCTGTCAGCGCCAGGCAGCCATGAAGTACTCCAAGCAAGGGGGCACGATCTGGGCAGGTGTGGGGTTTAGGGCGCTTACACCGGAGACTTCGTCCGAGGGGCATGATAGGGGAGACACAGGCAGGGTAAAGCAAAAATGGCTTTCCAGAACATTGTTTAACATGCATTAAATACACACATGCACACACATGAGGAAACTCACAAGACTGCCTCATAGTGGAATGGCAGCCTATGTCATAGCAGCCGGTCCAGGCAAGCACTTCATGGCACATTTCACACTGATATCCCTATGTGCAGAGCCTGGGGTTGGATCCTTGACCTACTGGTTGTGTTGTTTCCTTAGTGTTTTGTCAAGCCAGTGATGCAGAAATCTGTCCTCCAATCCTCCCTCCCCTCTCTGTCTGATTCTGAAGTTGCTCCCCACCCCTGGGTGGGCTTTCTCTGTGCTGGATCATCCCACGGGGGCTCAGTTTCTGAATTCCAAGCACTGCAGAATGAGTGAACCGAAGATGCTGAACTTAAAAGCCACACATCTTAGACTTATAAACTGAGCACCATCACAATTTCTACATAGCAGTCATAGCCTATGAAAAGAGGAGGTGCTAAACAAAGTGGCCCAAAAAGCTGTGGGGGGCAGGGGAGAGTAATCTGGCTTTCCAGGATGCCACCCCATATAGCCAGTCAATGCAAAGGACCCTTCTACATCCTTCGGGTGCAGCCAACAAGAACTGGAGCACTGTGTGAGAAGTTAATGACAAAACACAATTCACAATGCACCCAATGGGGCTATTTTAAGTTCATTATCCCTACTCCGCACAACAAATTAAATAGTATGACCCCATTTCAGAAATAAGGAGATTGGGGCTTAAGAACTTGTCCAAACTTGGATTGGAGGCATTCTTAAAATGAGTATAACTTCCTGCCTGCCTGCTCCCCTCTATTTATCCCTCATTTTGTTTCTGAATAGTGACTGCTATTTTCCTTACCAGCTCCTGGCCCCTTCCCTCCTCTCTGGCTATTTGAAAGAAGTGATGTCATCCAGCCATTAAAGAAACTTCCTGTCTGCTCACAGGCCCCAGCTCATTTTCTCTTTTTTACTCATTTTCCCCTGGATCCTGCCTATCTACGAGTCTCTCTCCAGCATGTCTGGCTTCATTAAATGCGGGGGGGTGAGGGGGGCCGGTGGCTGCTGTCTTGTATAAATACAAGGCACTATGGAACAGCCACATTGCTGCAGGATTCCGTGTTCCAAACCTCATAGCACGATCCCTGCCAGTTTGTCAGGTGCACAGTGTGGAAGAACCGGAAAGGGCGGGAACTTTGGAGCAAGGCAATCCTTGGTTCAAATCACATGCGGATATATCACTGGTTGTGTGACCTTGGGCAAGGGACTTCTGTCCTTTAAGCCCCCAATTCCCTCATGTAAAAATGGACTTAACATTATTTTGCAGTGATACTGTAAGAATTGAATTTTATGTATACCTGTATATACATACTTACATATACTACATATAATATAGCTATGTATTAGACATAGCAAAGATGTACATATAGGTGAGAAATAGATACAGATACAGACACAGATATAGACGTAGACATAGATATAGATACAGACATAGATACCCCCTAACAAACCTAATAAATAGGCTCTCAAAAAATCAGTTTTTGTCTCCAGCTGGGCTGGCTTTGCACTTGGCATTGCTGCTGCCCCACCTTCTTTTGAAAAGTAAGCATGGGTGACAGTTGTCGCCGAGGACCCTCTAGCCTGGCAAATCGTCTGGCCCAGCCCAGAGAGGCTGACAGGTATCCAAGGAAGTGGCAAAGTGCCTGCACTGCCATGGCCAGCCTGACCTCGAAGGACAGGCAAGGGCTTTGGGCAGGAATTTTACCCGTGTCCCAGCCAGTGAAGTGGCTGGTGACCACTCTGGAAGGGCCCCCATCTAGCAGCTTCCTGGCTTAAAGAAAGGACTCCTTATGGCTACAGCACAGCTTTCCTGGGCAGAGTGAATGTTGTCACCCATTGCTGGGTCCCCAGGGAGCCACCCCCGCCCCTGTGGTAATGCCAGTATCACCCTAGGTCCCACAGCACCAAAGACCAACCCTCAGTCATGCCACAGAGCTGTGAACGCTGAAGTTTAAAAACAAAACACAATGGTCTTATTGATTGCAGGAACTGTGTTGAGGGCTAGGCCCCATGGCAGCCTGCGGGATGCGCGGGCAAGAAGACTAGGGTGTTAGCTGGAGACCCAGCGCACCCCCTCACACGTGCTGTCCCGAGCTCGGTGCGGTGGGAGTGGGCCTTCTGCTGACTGCCACCCGTTACTGCTGATCCGTTCTTATGTAAGAACTGCTTCGCTTTCCTGTGTAGCCCTGAGGTGAAGCTTAGAGATTGGCCTCCTCTGCACGGTCATCCCTCTGTCTCGTGCTTGTCATGTGCTAGACTCTGATGATGCTGAGAAGTCAGTAGACCCTACCTTCAGCATGCGCACAGTCTGCCGGGGGCGGCAGACAGGCAGGCAGGCAGCAACAGCACCACAGAACTGTACTATAGCAGGAGTGGTGGCGGGCCAGGAAACCTTGTGGGAACATGAGTGGTGTTTTTAGGTGGATGACCTTGAATCTGCTCAAGTCTGAATCTGGTGATCTGTGAACGCTCAGAACTACAGGGTGGGACAAAAGTAGGTTCACAGTTTTGAGTACATAAAACAGAGTTTATTCTTATATTATTATTTATTAGTTATTATGTTATTTTCCATATGAATAACTGTAAACCTACCTTTGCCCCCACTCTGTATAATGACTCACCAGTGCATGGCAGCCAGTGAGTCATCCAGGGCAAGAGAGAAGCCAGCCAGACGCTGACTGCAGCATCGCCTGCGTATGTGCTAGAGGCACCTGCATCCAGCACGGGGAGTGGTGCTTGTGGCCAGACGTCAGGGTTCAGAGAGACGTTGCTCGAGGTTTCAGGGCAGGAGGGAGCAGGATCGTGGAGCAGGATGTGCAGTGAAGCAGGGGAACCAACACAGGCAAAGACTCGGTGCAGAATTATGATAAAACCTACCATAAATTGACACTTTATATGCGTTTTCTCACTTAAGCCCTAGACAGGTAGCTATTAATAGCCTCATTATTGTAAGTGCGGAAATAAAGTCCAGAAAAAAGAAGTCCAGTATATTATCCAAAGTTGTACTCCGCAGTTTGTACCAGAATGGGGGATGGCCGTCCTCACGCCGGTCAGCTTTCAGGGAAGCCACACAGCCTCAGCAAGTGAGAATCGTGCCTGGGAAGAGCTGAATTCCTCCAATGGACTAAGCGATTGCAGTAGCAAATGACTAAAAAATCTCTGTGGCTTAATGCTTAAAAGTTCATTTTTCTCTCACACTAAGGCCAGGTCAAGTGAGATTTCTGCCTAGAACGCCATTGGCCACCAGAGCAGAAAAAGTCCGGAGTATCCTGCAGGGCGTTTTACCACTTCATCCCAGAGCTCCCGTATCACTTCCTCTCACATCTCATTGGTCAGATGCAGTCACGTGGCCCTGCCCGAGACTGGTGCAGCAGCCGAGGAGTGCGGTCAGCACGATGCCCTGGAAGGAGAGGAGGAGAGGGTTCGATGAGCCTTGACAATGACTCCCACAGAGGCTTGACTGAAAAGACAAGTGACTGCCAAAAATAAAAGAGTCCTTTGGGAGGGTAAAAGGAGATGATACTGAGTAAAATGTAGGCTGGGGGTGCCATTCACTCATTCATCTAACAGGGGCTTACAGAGCACTAGGACTAGGTTCTGGGATCCAGGGATGAGGGTCAGAGTACCCCTGTCCTCACTGAGCTCATAGTCACTGCACTGTAACAGTTTTAATTCCATTTCATTAGCACTGTACAAGGCCACTGGGGACCTAAATGAGGGGCGATGAGGAAGCCTCAAGGAGGAGGCAACAAAGAAACATGCACAGGATCCCTGAAGGAGACAGAGATTAATCTATCAGTTGGCTGGCCGCCACAACGCAAGGGACTTACGTGGGTCATTGTCACCACAGTGTTCGTGAGAGACCCACCTCCTGTTGGGCCCAGGCACAGAGCAGAGAACTCTTAGAAAGACATACAAGTCATATCAGAGAAAAGCTCAAATGGGTAGATTTTTCTTTAAGCCCATGAAAACATAATACTCGGTCTCCTCCTGGCAGGAGGAATGCAAATTAAAACTATACTAACATGGTATATATCACCTATCAAAATCTGACAGCATGCTCTGTTGCTGAGATTTTAAGAAAAGAGACATTCCCATACACTGTGAGGCGGAGTGTATATTGATACAATCCCTAGCAATGGGGGATTTGGCAAGATTTTTCAAAATTTTAAATGCATATACTCTTTAATCTAACAGTTTCATTTGTAGGGAATAACTACAGGTATATTTATCCACTTATGAAATGTTACATGTACAAAAATATTCATTGTAGCATTATTAGAAAAAGATTGGAAAAACCCAAATGTTCATATTAGTGGACTGGTTAAAAATTAATTTACTTAATAATACAATACAGCTATAAAAATGAATAAGGAAACATTATATGTACTGATACAGAGAGAGCTCCAAGGTATGAGCTAAGTTTAAAAAATATATATAGTATAGTATCTATAGTACGTAAAAAAGTTACCTTTAGTGTAAGAAAAGGGCATAATGGAAATCTGTATTCATCAATTATGTATTTATAAGAATGCTTAAGTAGAACTGTCCGAATAGGTGAGATTTTGCTGTAGTAACAAATGACTTACTATTTTCAGTAGCTTATATAACAACTATTTGTTGTTGTTCACACTGCATGTCCATTATAGACAGGCTGCAGCTCTGATTCACAGCACTGTCACTGTGAGACCCAGGCTGATGGACCAGACCCCTAAGGGAATTTTGCAGATTTCATGGCAGAGGGAAAGCAACATAGCAAACCATGAACTGGCTGTTAAATAATATTCCCCATGGGTGTCAACCAAGCAATACTCTGCCACATTTTGTTGCCAAGCAAGTCACCACTACTGAGTGAAACAGGGCAAAAGATATGTCCAGCAGGGAAGGATACGATAAGTCACATGATCAAGCCTATTGACAATAGAACAGGCATGTACAATATAATCCTCTCACCGGGGGCGGGGAGCAACTAATCATGAACAATAATGCAATTTGTCACTAAGAAATTAGTATATCAGTGATTACCTATAGGATGGGATTGGAGAAGGCGAGTGGATAGGAGATAGGAATTAAGATTGACATTTTAATTTAGCACATATGTACATTTGAACCATGTGAATATATTATCTATTCTAAAGTAATAGTTGATGAGTAGGTACATAAAAATATATTCATGTTTCTCTTTCCTGTCACATGAGCATTGGATACATAATCTGAATCCACAGATATGTTCCTGGCATCTTATTAATAACAGGTCCTAGTAATGCTTGCTCAGAAGTATGTCAAGATCACAAACCCAGCCCAGTACAAAAGTTGTTCTCCATGTTCCATTCAAAGAAGAACAACTGATAGCGAGTACATGGAGAAGCAGAAGTCTCTATCTAGTTTATCTGGTTTGAGAACCCACGTGATTCAGTGGGGAACAGTGTAGCCCCTGGGCCTTCACCAAAGTGGGGTAGCAGGGACTCAGAATGGAATGAATAGATAATAAACCTAAAGCAATTGGCAAGTGTGTAAACAGCAAGGGAGTAAAATTCGTAGGAAACCAGAGTTTAGTACCAAGCAGCAAGACAAAGAATCGGATCTAAAAAAAAAGGAAAGCTATTAACTAAAATATGAGCTGTAAGATTAGAAGCTGAGATGATGGGGCATATGGGTCAGAAAGTGAAGTGCAGGGTGAATTGAAGAGCAGATCAAGGCCAAAGACAGGGACAGCAAAAGGAGCCAGAATCTCGAGTTCTGGGTTGTGGCTGAGGGATAAACAATCCAATGCCTGGAAGTTTCTGCTCAGGACTTCAAAGCAGCACAGAGCGTGGGCTACCTGCAGATGACCGAGCTGCAAGAGCACTCTGACTGGGATTTCAGAATTCTGTCCTGTGGGTGTTTATAACCCCTGGGGACCCTGGAGGAGAGAGCCCTGGAGCCCACCAAGGGTTAGCAGGGATGGCTTGAGGGCGTAAACGGCCATCTGTGCACACAGCTGCTGCACTGGCAGATGTTTTGGAGTTGCTGCCCTTCATGGCCTTTTCACAGAGATGGAGGGTCTCCATGAGGCTGGGTACTTTGTTGGTCATTCTCTCCTGGAATACCCTGTTGTTTTCCAGTATCACTTCAACCCCTCGCAGTCCGTCCTGGTGATGGAAGGTGATGACATCGGGAACATCAACCGCGCCCTGCAGAAGGTCTCCTACATCAACTCCAGGCAGTTCCCGACTGCGGGTGTGCGGCGCCTCAAAGTCTCTTCCAAAGTCCAGTGAGTGGAAACCTGTCAGCCAGGGCCAGGCTGAGGCAGTGGGAATGGTCCCCTTGCAAAACAGGGGTCACCTCTCTTCCGCTGTTCCCAGCATCTCTGCTATCCCTATGAGGACGCCCCAGTTATTCTTTGGTTTTCTCCTTAAAGAAAACATCCTGTTGTTTTGCTAACTCACATCCAGCTTTCTGTTTTTTTCTGTATCTGATTTCATGCCTACTAGGTAGTGTTTTCTGTAAATTCTTGGAAAGCTGGGTTTTAAGTGGTATGATTTAAGGGTACAGTGTCTGGTGCATGGTAGGCGCTTGACCAATGTTGATTATTTAAATTAACCAACTCAGCCCATAGAGCTCCTAAATACCATGAGTGTGCAAGAGAAAGCAAAGGCACAGTTCTTGTCCTCAGAGAGCAGTGAATTCAAAGAGATGAGACTATTACTGAAGCCTGTGGATATCTCCCTTATAGACCTATCGTAATCGTTTCTAAGCCGCAGCAGCTGCCACAGACGGCTAGGAAGGGGACTCCAGAAAAACTCCTGAGAGGTGGAAAGGTATCACCTGGTGCCTAGAGCCAGGAGAAGGACCCAGAAAAACAGGAACAAGCATGGGAAATATGGGTTTGCTGATTGCCCCTTGCCGGGGTCTGAGACAGGTGCCGGGATAAAGCCCACAGACAGCAATGACCTTCAATAGTTCTCTCCGTGGAGGAACTGCTCCTCCCACGCACTCCACAGGCCCACCTTGGAGGCCTAGGGTAGGGAGCAGGCACCCCCAGGTCAGCTACACATTGCAGCAAAGAAGAGCGCCCAGGCTCCATAACTGGCGAAGGGAGGGGTGTCCTCTGTAAACTGTGGGGTTGGTGCAGAAAAGGCCAAAGAAAACTGGGATCGGAAACCCACCGCCATTCCCACACCTCACTCACTCAGAGAAGATAGAGTAGCTAAACCTGGGGCCCTCCCTGCCTACCCTTTTCTCAGAAGCTTTCCCAAGGGATGCAGGATGACGGCTGCTGCCAGCTGGAGCCCACCTGGCATTCCCAGGGCATCCACTGGGACCCTGGGGTTCTCACTGTAGCCCAGGTCTAGGCCTAGATGACCAGCAGAGGGTACCAATGACAAGATGCCTGATGAGGTCTCATGAGAGCATCAAGTCTGTCAACATTTACTGAGCTCCAACGAGGATGCAGCCTCTGGGTCTGCTCCTTTTCTGAGTTACCATATTTAATCCTTATTACTATAAGGTAATCCATTACTGTCATTCCCGTGCTATAGATGAAGAAACTGAGGTTCACAGGGGCCGAGCACCTTGCCCAGAGTCTCCCAGCCCAGGAGTGGCAGGGCCAGGCCATGGATTCTTGCCTGTCTAATTTCCTGGACTTCGCTCTTGTCATCACACCATTCTGCTCCCTGGGTGCTTTGAGGCAGCGTATCAGGAAAGAGGAGCATGATGGCAACGGCGCTCCACCGGCACACCTGGAACTGGCGCCCTGGTGTGATAGCCTCAGAGAGAGAGAACCCGCAGGCGGTGGCGGGAGAGTTTAGCCCTGTGGTCACACTTAGTAAGACGGCTATAACCAACCAGTGAGACAAACAATTTGCTTACCAAATCCTAAGGCACAAAACAAGCAGTTGCTATCTAATTAACGTTGCCATTGATTACTTTGTTAAAGGATAATTAAAGGTTTAATGGTTACTTGTTGCTGGTATAGAAAATTCCCATTTCTCCCAGGAGCCAATCTTTTTAAGTCCCTAGATTGCTGGTCGTTTTGACTGTAATATGTCTTTAAACTTAAATGTCTGTTGACATCCCGGAGACTCTTAGGCAATCAGGATGCCTTGTCAAGGACTAGAGGTGGCTGTACGCATCCTTGACCATGGCTGCATGATGGATGGTTCCACTGTGTGCTCTCCAGGTGCTTTGGAGAAGACGTGTGCATCAGCATCCCCGACGTGGATGCCTACGTGATGGTGCTGCAGGCCATTGAGCCACAGATCACACTCCGGGGCACGGACCGCTTCTGGAGACCCGCCGCCCAATTCGAAAGTGCCAGAGGGGTGACCCTCTTCCCCGACATCAAGATTGTGAGCACCTTTGCCGAAGCCGAGGCCCCAGGTGACTCGAAGACCACAGGTACAGGTGCATCCTGGGTGTGGGCAGTGAGCCTTAAGTTCTCACGGCCAAGGCAAACCACACTTATGAACAACAGTGTTGTTGCCTGTAGCAAGGTATTTACAATAGCAAAACAGTCAAACTAACCTGGAAACAACAGAGATAAATAACAAGAAGGGAATGAATGGCTCAGCAAATCATGGTACCCTATACAGTGGTACCTCGGTACTTGTCGTTAATTTGTTCCGAGTGGCGAGCAAGCAACGATTGATGAAGTATTTTCTCTTGCCGGGTGGCGTTGTGATTCATGCAAGCTCTAGCAAGTGCAATGAGGGGCAAGCAAACGCTGAGTGCTGAAACATTTTTTCTTGTCAAAATGCTGTGAGTGCCAGGTTTGACAAGTTCTAAAGCCTATGAGTACCAAGGTACCACTGTACAAGTGCTGCGTTCTTGGAGGAAAGGCATCTATGCTAAATGGTAAGTGACAAAAAGCAAGATGCAAATTATAGAGTATCTATGCATAGACTGATCTCAACCATGTAAAGAAAAAAGTACAAAGGAAAATGCCCGGAAGAAAACCCACCGTATACTAATAGCAGCAACATGATCTGAGAAGCCTGAGCGCCAATTGGTTTCTGCTCCCCTTCGCTTTTCTGCTACTGCAAAATGTTCTGTTGTGTTATTATTTTGACAATCAGAGGAAAAGTTAAAGAAGCACAAAATAAAAAACATTACTGCATCCTAATAGATACATGGAAAAGACTTGTTCATCAATATTACTCTAAGCTCTCAGGGAACTTTCCAGTTGTCCTTTCATTATTGGGCGGGCTGTTCAGTGAAAGTGATCAGAATTATCTGCCAGGGAGAAACGCTTAGTTGCACTGAAAGCTACAGCATGTGCTGCTGGCTCGAGGCGGGTGGAGGGAGGCAGGAAAAAGAAGGGAGAGAGGGGGTGAGGGAGGAAAACCTCAGGTCAGATCTACTGCGGTTTGAGAACTGTCCTTCGCTGCCTCCTCTGAGAGAATACTTTCAACCCCCCTCCCTTCTCTCTCTGTCCAACAGCAGCTGCTAATGATCTGCTGGTGCCTGTGAACCTGAATCCCTGAGGGGCTGTTTCTAGACTAGGCTTAATCATCCATTGCCTTAAATCACCATGGTCCTAGCCAAAAGGGGCATGACTCACAAAGCAGCCCTTCTTAGCCTACAAAATAGATGGCGTTTTACCACCTGTCGGGCAGGGCAGTCTCCTAGTTACACTCCAAGGTGCAGTAAGTCATGTGATCTTCCCTCTTCCCCTCATTTTGTGGCTAAAATCAGAGAGAAAAAGAGCCTCTGACCTCAGTGGTTGCCGGCCATGACTGCGCGCTGGATTTACTAGGCCTGATAACAACACACAGGCTACGCAGGGAGAAGCAGTTATTGGGGTCCCTGTCTTCCCTTCTCTTTATGAGAGGTGCTTGCAGAGCACAGGGCCAAGTGCCCGAGACCTATTGTTAGTGCCTTCAAAATTTTACTCTTATTGCTGTTAGAGCAGTCATTGTTATGGGTGTCTTAAACAAGCAGGACCCACTCCAGCTTCGTCTTCTGCCCCCATTGACCCACGCTTTGTGCTGTTTCAGTACAAAGGATAAGCAATTCCCCTGTGCATACCTCTCTCTCTCTCTCACTCACACACACACATCTCTGTGTTAGTTCACACGTTTGCTCTTACTCTTCGCTCTGCCTGGAAGGTTCCTGGCCCTTCCTGTTCTCATTATTGCTGGCAAACATCTCTACCTTCCACACATCCCCCAGAAGGCTTCCTCCACCACGAGTCTGACCCCTGAACTGGATTATGTCTCTGTTCAGTACAACCCCAACCATGCAAACAACTTTTGTCATGTTACTAAATATGACCAGAAGCTCCATAAGGGCTGAACCATGGCTGATTCACCTCTGAGTCCCTGAGCCTGGCACAGTCCCCTCAGCACAGTGGGAATCAAGGAAAGAGCAGATAAAAGAAACTACCCACGGTGCACAAGGAAACAACGAAAAAATGGTCCCCTATTCAGGGTGAGCCATTAGCCAAACACATGGGGAGATAGGAGCAAGGATGTTCTAACCCATCCTGACCAGAAGCTGGCAAAAAACCCACTAACCATGAGAAGACCATTTGAAATAGAGATACACATAAACATTGTTATGTTAGACCTTGTCTTAGTGTATATTAATGTGCATTTAGATTTTGCTAATGGCACGTGAAGCCTTTGAGATAGCAAGCATGTAACAATTAAGCATATCAAAGTATTTATAATAATATATATCTTGTGAGAACAAAAATTATTTTTGGTATCACTAAAAAATTCAAATAAAAAATTCTTTCATCTTTAGCAAATCCTCTTTAAGTTCTATTTTTATAAATATTTCATAATGAACAAAATTATTAATCTTATAAGTAAATAAATATACTTACTTCAGCAATCTCGGTTCACAAATTTTCTAATGACAAGCTGCGAGATCAAAACAGTTGGAGACCGCTGGCCCAAAGGGGACGATTTTACAAACTGTGGAATCAGAAAGTCATGCCTTCTGCCCCAGCTCCTCCCCCACTATCCTGTGGAATCCCGGGCAATCCACCCTTGGACCTTCCCCCTCTAATGTCTGTCTGTGTTTTGTTTGTACGGTGCCTGGTACACAGCAATCACTCCATAAATACCAATCACTTTTATTTGAAGGTGAGATTTTACAATAAGTTAATACTGCCAACCTGCCTGGCATTTAAAAGCTCAGACATCCTTTTTGGAAATTTAGGGCCCAGAAAATCAGTCAGGGACTAATTTACTTAAGTACTGAACTGTATTAACAATGCAGCTCTATTTGAACTATGAGTAGTAACGCTGCTCCATGCGAGGGCCTGGGTTGGATACTGAGGACTCGGTCACAAAAAGTGTTTCCATCCCTGGAAATGTCCAAGTCCACCAAGGGCAACAGATACACACCATGACCACATGGGGAAAGGTGCAAGAGCAGGGTGGAGGGGCACTTACCTCTGGCCTCGAATGGGAGCTATTGCTTATTGGGCACCTACTATGGGCCAGACACCGTTTCATTTGGCTCAAGACCCTTGCCCTCTTCACAGATGAGGAAATCGAGGGGTAGGTATTTTCTTCAACATTACACAGATTCTCAATAATAGCACTGGTATTCCAGTTCTCATCTTTTGATTACTGTTTTCATGTCTTCACACAAATCCCTGGTGCCCAACCTCAGGGGCTGCCTGGACATCCATCCAAGCCACGGAGGTGGTACTTAGGGTTACACAGGCTCTTCTGATCCAAGCTTCACCTGCAGGTGGGGGGCAGCCACAGAGGAGGGAAATGATATGCAATCTTCCTCCATTGTCTAACTGGTCCTCACACCTATGTTTTCCATGTGTCGGTCTTCCCGCAGCCCCCAAATCAGCAGTCTTAGAAGAAATGCTTCATAACTTAGATTTCTGTGACATTTTGGTACTGGGAGGGGACTTGGACCCAAGACAGGAGTGCTTGGAGCTTAACCACAGTGAGCTCCATCAGCGACACCTCGATGCCACCAACTCCACGGCAGGCTATTCCATCTACGGTAAGGCCTCCCTCAGCCCCATTTCCTGTGGCCTCCTCTTAAAGTGACCTCATCCAGGGAGTCATGTGTGTGGTGGCACTCCATCACCTATGAAGGCAGTGTCAAGTGGGGACCCTTGACCTCAGAGCATGGACTTCTGGCCCCTCCTTCAGTGAGCTACTCTAGCATCTTGAGATCCTGGACCATATCCCTACTCCTGCAGAAATCTACAGAAATGAAATGGCTGCCTTCTCTTTTATTTGATCTCAGCAAATATTACAGCAACATTTGGCAGGTTGAGGCCAGTCTGGTCAAACCCGTTCAACTCTGGTTGAGCCCACTCTATGGGGGAATCCTGTGGATCAGTTTAATTGGCTCCTCAGAACTTTTGCTTCAGCACATTGTCTGCCCCTAAATACCTCCAGCTCTCAGTCTGACCAAATTCAGGAGACCCACAAGCCCCAGCAGCTGCAGCCTATCTCCCCCATCTTCTCTTCTGCCTTTTTATGACAGGTATTATCTCTTGGCACAGGTGTGGGCTCCATGGGCCGCTATGAGCAGGTGCTACGTCACATCCGCTACCGCAACTGGCGACCAGCTTCCCTCCAGGCCCGGAGGTTCAGGATCAAGTGCTCGGAACTCAATGGGCGCTACACCAGCAATGATTTCAACTTGGAGGTGAGCGAGTCCTGTGGTTGTAAGGGAACCCCAGGCTCACCCATTCTTTCCTTTCTTTATTCGGGAGGACTCCTGCCACTGGCACCTACCTGCCACTCCTGGTCAACAGCACCTCGCCCTGCTCTTCCCAGGTCAATGTCCTCCACGAGGTCAGAGCCTCAGACAAGGAGCACGTCAATCACCTTATCGTGCAGCCTCCCTTCCTCCAGTCTGTCCAGCACCCCGAGTCTCGGACTAGCGTCCAGCGCAGTTCAGGTAGGTCACCTGGCGGGAGGGACCTCAGGACACTAGGTGATCACTGTAACTCAAGAGCATCACTAAACAGACATTTAAGGTGCAGCGGCCTTAGGTGCCCAGAACTGAGGGTGGGAGCTGACAGTGGAGAAGCTGTGGACCCTGGCTCAGAAGCATTCACGCAGCCTCAGCAGGGAACCCGACAGGTACACAAGGAGTTTCAGACAATATATAACAACAGAGGTTAGTGCAAAGGGCTGGGGTAAAATTGTGCAAGTCCCTTTAGACCATCCTCAAAGCTACATCCTTTAGGAAGCTTTCCCTGAACCCCTTACACATGCTTACATATACACACTTGTGCACCATGGTGCAAAGCCCCCTACCCATACTACTGTCCCGCACTTGCCATATGGTGTTACTCTCTGCTGGGCACCGTGTCTGTGCCTGCTAAATTCCACAGTGCCTGGCTCTCAGTGGGAGCTGCCCTATAAAGTGAGGGAAGAAGCAAGAGGTAGAAAAGAACTTGCATTTACTAACTGCCTACTATGTGCCTATGTGGAAGCTCACGCAGATTATTTCATTCGCTCCACACAACTACCCAAGGGATAAGAATTATGAAGTCCATCACATAGATGATAAATGTGAAGCCCAGAGTAAGGTGCTGACCCAGAGTCCTACAGCTGGGAAGTATTAGGGCAGATTTTAACCCATGCATGGATGTTTCATTCGTGCTCCCTGGTGCCCTAGAGTGAGCTAGTTCACTGTGTCATGCAATCCCTCTCTCATTCCAGTGGTCCCAAGCGTCGCCACGGTGGTCATCATCATCTCCGTGTGCATGCTAGTGTTTGTGGTGGCCATGGGCGTGTACCGGGTCCGGATCGCCCACCAGCACTTCACCCAGGAGACCGAGGCTGCCAAGGAGGCCGAGATGGACTGGGACGACTCTGCGCTCACTATCACAGTCAACCCCATGGAGGTGATCCTCACGCGGAACAGGAGCTTCGCATGGGATGGCTCCCCTCCACCCAGTTCTGTATTTCTTGTACCAGAAGCCCTGCCCCATCCAGCCCGGCCCCACTGATCCCCACCTTCTCTGAGCTCCCCCAGCCTTTTCAACATAAATGGACCATCCTTTCCCACCAACTGCACGCACTGATTAAAAACGTGTGAATTGCTCTCACCCTACAAACAGAACCAGACATTTCTTAAGGCAAACAGCCATGTGGTGTCTATCTGTTGTCACCCCCATTATATTTAGCTCGGAGCTAACACTTGGGGACTCAGCATTGAATTTTTGATTAATTAACAATGTAAATTAGATGGCTTTTCTCCATACTGCCTGCAGAGCTCATTTAAGGGCTCAGAATAGGTTAAAACAGAAATACATTAATAGCTGCCATTTATTGAGCCCCCCATTATGCCTGACACTGCACAGCATGCTCTAGATGCACATCTCATTTCATCTTCCAGCAACCTGTGAAGTAGGAGTCATCCTCCTCATTTAGCAAGGTGGAAGCCAACTCAGAGAGGAAAGTGAAGTGCTCAGATTCACAGAGCTGGCAATGGCGGTGCCGATCGTCACACTCCAAGTTGCTTGATTCTAAAGTTCACCTCTTTCCAGGTAGCCAGCAGCCCCCAGAGTCCACCCATGAGTGTCCAAAGCCCCTGGCCTGGGCATATGACTATCAAGGGAGGCCAGGGCTTCATGCCTTTCGACCTGTTCATGGATACTAAGTGGAGATAGAGCCAAGAATAACAAAGCAGGGGACGATCAGGAGGATTCACTGAGAAATGAAAAGAAAATTATCCCAGCCTCATCCCCAGTTCCCCCCTCAGCTGTTCTCACGCTCTGGTTTCAGAGCCAGCGTGTCGATATAGCTCAGCACGTGCAGTGGGTAGTGCTGAGCCGCCACTGCAGAGACGCCAGCTTCGCCACCCTTGAAGCACTGAGCCTTGGGTGAGGGAAACAACCACCAATCCTGGAGCAGCCTGAATGTGTGCAAGATTGTGCCTACTGTGAAGCATGAGCAGGGAGAGTCATTGGGGATGGTGTGTTCAGGGAAGACTTCTCAGAGGAGGTTAGCTTAAGGGAGGCTTTGAAGAATGGGTAGGACTTGGAGGAAGCAAAGGTAGAAGTGAAGACACTCCAGAGATGGGACTCAGCCAAGAAAGGACACAAAACTTTTATGGCTGGTTCATCAAAACAAATCCAGAATGAAGATTTGCCTGGAATCACAAAAAACTAGGGGAAGCAGAGATGGGATTAGAAAAAAGTGGGGTAGGGTCAGAGGGTGAGGGGTAGACATGGAAGATGAGGACCATGAACTTAGTCCTTCCCAGAGGAATGATTCTGAGGGGCAGCACACCTGAGTCTTGGCTTGGAAGACCTGCTCCCAGACATGTTATATTCCTGTCTGGAAAAGGGGAACAAGCTTAAATGCCATTCTCTTACTGAGAAGCAAACACTGAAGATTTGGCAAGCTCATATCAACAGGCTCCAGTAATGCCAGAAAACAAGCCTTGGCCTGGAAGACTTACTAAGTCATGTGTGGAATTGCCTTAAATGTCTAGTGTCTAAAACACTCATCTTACCTTGAACTCACGTCTTGGAATTTGCTCTTCCTTCTTGTCTTTGTCCTCGACCCTCTGATTGACTTTTCACCAGAGGACCTTCCTTCCAGGCACAAGGGTTTAGCATTAAGGGGAAGGCATTTCAAAGGGCTTTAAATGTTTCCATAGTGGAGAGAGAAATAGAAGCTCCAACGTGGCCTCTCCTCAGGCCCTGACGAGCATTTTTCTTCTCTTCCTGACATCCAGAAACATGAAGCACCAGGGCGTGGGGAAGATGAAACTGAAGAAGAGGAGGAGGAGGAAGTAGAAGAAGACGTAAGCTCCAGCAGCAGCGACTCAGATGACAGCGACGAGGAGGAGGTGGAGGAAGGGATGGGCAGGGGCAGACACGGGGAGACTGGAGCCAGGCAAGCCCAGCTGGAGTGGGATGACTCCACCTTCCCCTACTAGGGCCCAGCTGTCTGCACCCGACCACCTGTCCCTTTTGTAAGCCACACCTGATGTATGTGAGTCTATCACTGTCACCTCTGATTTTGATGACACTCCAGGCAGGCCTCCCCCAGCCTCCTAGAACCCACCCTCCATCCCTTGGGCACTCCCTGTGCCCCAGCCCTGGGGGGCGTTCCAAGAAGCCCAGCACATCCTCAGTGGGGACTTCGGGGTAGGCTTTGTCCTGCAGTCCCCACTGCTCCTGCCCTGGGCTCCTCTAGTGTCCCGTCAGCCAGTCTGCAGAGTTCTGACTTTGCTCTTCTCTGCAGGGGAGAAGGTCAGCCCTTATGGCAGTCACCTCCCGGGCTCTGTGTTCCCAAGGCCCTTGGGTCCCTACCCGCCATGTGTGCTCCTGACTCAGCAGTCTCCCCACATAGACCAGCAGGTTCTCTGGGCGGCTTCATTCAGCAGGGTTGTCAGACTGCACACACCTGATATCTTGGTCCTTAACTTTAAAGGAGAGTCTTTGTTGAAGCTGAATTAAGTTCACAGGGAGAGGTTCACGCACTCATGCACACAGGCGCACACTCTCCCAAGTTTGGAGGTCCTTTCCCTTTGACCTTTCTGAGGCCATATAAAGCTTATTATGAAAAGTACGAAACCTTAGGCGCAGCAGGGCCTGGTCCCCAGCCAAAGCTCTCCAAGTCTGCCTGCCTAGGCAGCCGCTGAGACCCACATAGCTTCCTTGCGGGAGACTCCCACCCAGTGAAACCACAGGATCCAGGGAGCCTTCCACACTGGCTGTGCTCCAGGAGACCGCTGTGAAAGGCCTGCAGCTGGGGGTCGGAAGGAAGGGCTGAGGAGGTGATGCCACTGGGCTTCATGGTGGACGCAGGTCTGGGGGACAGGGTGCCTGGGCTCTCCCGGGCCAGAGGGCAGCCCAGGCGGACAAGACTCCTGCCACTAGTCTTATGATCCTTGTCCCCTATTTCACACTGATTTGCCTCTTAAGAAAATGCATTCCTTTTGGATGTATTAGAACAAGCGTGAACTACATTAAGTCTAAAATGAGAGTCTGAAAATTTAACCACTAGGAATTAGAAACATTTGCGATAACAGCTGCTTCTTTCTTCTTATAAAAGGAGCAATGCTTTGGGCAGAGGGCAAATATATCTGAAAACCTAATTTATTTATTTATTTCTTATTTTTTTAATAAGGAAATCTCTTCCATCTCCTTCCTAACATGGACACCTCATGGAGAGAATTGTTGCTATAGTAACTGGTCTGTGATCTTTTGTGGCCAAGAGAATAGCAGGCAAAAATTAGGGCCATTATAGGACTTCCACAAGGCTTGCCTGTCTCAGGCTTTGTCCTCAGCATGTGTGATCTGTCCCTGTCCTCCCAGTCTCCTCCAGCTCATTCCGTATTGGCTTGGTGCAGTCACTGAGCTGGTCCCTAGTTACAGCGGCGTTCAGATTCAAAAGAAGGATCAAAATCTATTCATTCTATTTACTGGATCATCAAAACAGGGCTTCTGAGGCGGACCACTGTCAATGTCCCCTAGTCTGCCCTTCACCCAGTGAGGACCCATGATAAGGCTTCACAACCTTCCGATTCCAGAAAGCTCCCTTATGCAGACTTTCCGTTGCCTAAAGGGTTTTTGCATCTGTTCCTTCCTTTGAGTCTCTCAGTAATTCTGTGAGGTAGTTGGGACAGCTGCTGTCAGGCACATTTTCATTATGAGTAAACTGAGGTTCAGAGATTCAAGTATCTTGCTCAGAGTCATTCAGAGATAGAGACAAAGCTGGACTCCCCACTTTCCACTTCTGGTCCAGTGCCCACCACCCTGATTCTACTTACGTTCACGTTATGCAGTGAACAGACGTTGCTGAGGACCTGTTATGTGCTGACCACTCACCCAGCAGCTGTAGGAAAAGAATGAAGCTGAATAAAATCAGCTCCTCCCCTCAGAGGACTGGCTGGTTGCAGAGGAGGCACAAAGGGGCGTGCAAATTACACAAGAGGTGCAGAGGGAGGGAGAGAAGTCATAGGAAGAAGAGGCACACATTCACAGGCTCAGTCAGTGCTCTTATTTTTCCTTCATAGGGAAAAACGCTGGCAGAAGTTTAGGGTTTTATATTCATTGAATGGAAATCGACACTTCTGTGAATTCTCTCAACCAAACATTCCCTTTCTACCCTGCATTGTCTGCACATCCACAAGGAGAAAATCTGTAGGACAGCGTAGTCCTCACCATCCCCTCAGCTCAATAAAAAGAGATTCTTCAGTGGAGCATTTAGGAGCGAAAAGAATTCTCCCAAAATTATGGCAGTAAAAATGAATACTTTACATGTTGAAAACCAATTCTTTTTCAATTTGATTTAAAATATCTAAGGCCAGCATTCATGAGCACATTCCTCTGTGCCCGGCCTTTGGGTTTGGCTGGAGTGGGGAAGAAGTTCCTCACCCTCTGTCTGTCTCCAGTGGCTGTATCGCTTCCTCGTGGTTGGGGGAGCCATCTGGGGCATGGAAAATCTTCTGTGTTTGGGGAGCAGGCAGTAAGTGAAAGCTGCTCTTGTCTAGGGCAGCAGAGTCGTGGGCTGGACTTACAGGTAGAGAGACAAGGGGCCCATCAGAGCCCTTTTGTAGAAGTCCTGCTGTGAAAGGTCGCACCGCTCTCTGAAGCTTGAAAATAGATAGGCTGACTCCTCTCAGGTGGCTCAGGTGACAGGGAGGAGGAGGAAGAAGAGGTTGGGATAGAAAAGGCCAGTACTGACTGAGTTGCTCTGGTGGCATAAAACACTCAATGAGCTGGCCACCTGTCTTAAAGAATGCTGAAGGTATGTTCTAGAGGTTGAATCAAATGTTATAAATCTGACCGAAGCCCAAATTTCTACATAACAAAAGTGTGATTTTAGTGAGACCTCTTTTCACTCTCACTTGCCTGCATGCACCCAATCCTGTCCAGCAGGGCTTAGCCCACATAACTCTGCATGTAGCAAGGGCTGCGCCTTGTAGACACGGACCCTCCAGGGAGAGGGCTCCTGGTGGGAAGCCATGTTCTCTGTTCCTGTACATACGGCAGGGCTCTGCAAACTTTTTCTGTAAAGAGCCAGATAGTAAATATTTTGGGCTTTGCAAGCCATATGGTCAAGTATTCAACTCTGCCCTTGTCACATGAAACCAGACATAGACATTACTTAAATAAATTAATGTGGCTGCATTCCAAAATAACTTGATTTATAAACACTAAAAAAAATCAGACACGTTGAATTTATATTATTTTCTCATGTCACGAAATGTTATTACTCTTTTGATTTTTATTTTCAACCATTTAAAAATGGAAAAACCTTCCTGAGCCCACGGGCCATATAAAAACTATCAGCCAGCTCGATTTGTCCCCTGGGTCATAGTCTGCACACTCCTACCCTATGTGTGTGGAAAACAGCCCTCTGTTTGCCAGGAGAAAGCAGATCGCTGTCTTAGACCCTCCCATAAATCACCCAGTGGCTTTGCCTCCAAAATGATCAACAAACAACACCGTAGTCTTTAATTAAGCTGTTTTAAAAGTCTGTGTTTGGAGGAAAATGAAAGCAAAAAGACACATGTCACTTCTTGAATTGACTCAAAGGTGGGCAAACACCCCTTCAGAGCTGAAGGCCCTGGGTCCAGGCTCTGGCTGAGCGGCGAGTGCTAACCCCGCTGAGCTGAATTCCCAGGCGCAAGGCCTTCTCTGCAAGACTCAACCCATCTTGATTTCTAAGCAGGAGTGTTCATTATCTCAGGCTGATTTCTCTTTCAGCCCAGCTCACTCTGAAAATGATTCTAAAGACTTGTGACTGTTTGAATCAATAGTGACATAATCAGTAGGAAGCCCGACCCAGCATACTTCAACATTAGCATTCTTCTTGGCTCTATGGTTCAGTATTAGCAACAGGAAGAAAAAGAGGGCTTTTTTCTTAACCATCCCTCATTTAGATGAACCAAATCCGTTTTTCAGAAAAGTGAGGGAGTGGGTCTAATTCTTCAAAAGAATTTACCAGTGCCGAGTAGACGCTTTTCAGGTAAGATCACTCCCAGGCCTTAGGGGGGTCCCCAGAGCCTGTGCAGTGCGCTGTGATGAGCTGCTGCGGCACACGATTCTCTGCCTGCCTCAGACTCATCAGGGCTGCTGAGCCGAAGCCCCTGAGACAGCCTAATTTTCATGTAACCACTTTCCCTTGTCCAGCTGTATGCAATGGAAATAAGCAAGGAAAGTTTTGAAGTCTGCGCCAGCACCTTCATTCCCCTGTCTTTATTTGCTTTACTTCATAAATTTATTCTGTACCTGCTTCGTAGATCTTGCTCTGGGGTTCCTTTTGGCTCCAGCTGAAAAGGAGAGTTGGCTTTACAGGGGCTGTGGACTTGAAGGCAGACTTGACTCTCCCAGGGAGACAACAAGAGACAGAAGAAGTCACCTCCACCAGCACCCCAGAAAGCTCTCCGACACTTCCTGTATGCCATCAGTGAGCAGATGGGATCTGTGTTTGCAGCGATGTTCCATGTGATTCAGCAGATCCTCGCTGCGCACCCGTGGTGTGCCAGGCCCTGTGCCAGGAATGGGGAAGGGAGGAGGAGGGAGGCTCAGCCCTGCCCACGAGGAGCTCTTTGCAGTGTTAGAGGCTGTCTATGAGTAGTCAGAGCTGTTGGGGACAGAAGTCTGCAGTTGGGACAGGTGGGATTACCACCCTAAGTCAGCTGGTTAGGTGTACTTCTGGGACCCCTGATATACTGCTGAGCCAATGCTTCCCTCTGTGTTTCTCAATTCTACCCCAGTCTGACTCCGTTCACATGTAGATGACAGCCAGTCATCTTACCCAGTGGGCAGAAATAACTTGACTGGTTAAGGGACATTAGGCAAAAGAAGTTCTACAGGGGAACAGAGGGCAGCCAGACCTCAAAAGTTAGGAAGGGTGACCCAGGTGCAGGGTCAGCATGAGCCAAGGCCCATGCCCTGACGCGAGGTGCCATGCCGCAGCTGAACAGGGGAGACCAGACTGCAGAGGACCTGCCAAGGGGTCACACTTGAGGCTGTGAAGCAGACGTTCTCCAGGTCCACGCCTGCACCAGCGGCATCAGCATCACCTGAGTGATGCAGATTCTCAGGCCCCTCCAAGACCTGAGTCAGAAACTGCAGGGGTAGGACCCAGCCATCCATGTTTTCCTGAGCTCCCCCGTGCCAGTGCTCACGGAGATTTGAGAACCGCTGACGCAGTGGAGGAGGAGAGTGACTTAAGCTGGCACTGGGATCAGATGACAGCAAGAGAAAGGGATCCACCACTCATGTAGTGAGGAGGGGGGCCACCAGGCTCCAATCCCCACTCCCTGAAGCAGGGGTTTCAGAGAACCCTGGTCCCGGTCCCGGTCCCAGTCCCACTCCTCCCCTCAGGCAGGAGCCACTCCTGCCGCTCTGGCCCCTTTCATCCCACAGAGGCTGTCGCAGGCCACCCATCCCTAGGGAGGCCCCACCCAGATCCCTCCTCAAGGGCTGTACTTTAGGAGAAACAATAAACGGCAGCAACGGCCCTGCATCACCAGAAGCACTGGTGCCCCCACGGCCTCCATCCTGGGGAGGGGGGGGCGGGCACCAGGCCCTGGCCGACAGTGGGTGCGGTCATTTAAGGACACTGCAGGTCGCTGCAGCGCTGCTCCGTGTGTGAGGGGACCGGGGCACGCAGCGGCATGATCCAGGCGCCAAATCAGATGGGGAATAAATGGCTTTCCTTGCAAGGGCAGTAACTCTTTCTAGATGTTACTGAAAGTAGAAAACGAAAACCAAAAGCAAACCTGCAGCCTTCCCTACAGAGAGTCTGTCTTGGCCCTTGAATTTCTAAGACCAGGCTCCATGAACGTCCCTTGTCCCCATCAACCAGATGCCTGAGGTCCACCAATTATTCATTTAGTTTTTTGATTTATGCCTTAAATTACAAAGATCCACAGCCCTCTGGGAGGACTAGTTGG